GACGTTCTGGTATGTATCTGCTTTCAGCCACCCCTGTGTACTGCCTGGCCACCCTTATAAAAATGTTCTGGTTACGCCTCTGCAAAGGAACAAGACATTATACATTTAAAATAAGAAAAAGCTTATTTCAAGCGCATATTTTCTAATTATCTTATTCTAAGAGTAAAAACACTCATTCCATGGGCAAAGACTATTCCTGCTTTGTTGAGAACATCAACTACCAGAAGCACCTTTGAAGGCGACTTCTGTTTGATCCCAGTGAATAAGAGTCAGAGGATTCAGATATCATGTCTGAAACAACTGTTTCTTTCCTCATTAGGAGGTTAATCTCTGAAATTGTTCCTTCTTCTGGAAGGAGAACCCTGTGATTGTCATTGGTGGTGCTCCAGTCGCAGCTGTCTCACCCTCCTCCAGCATACAGAGGATAATAGCCTTAGTTTCTCTGCAATTGAATCAGAGCTGGGCTCACGTAAAGCACAGCTGCTCTGATTACAGACTGAGGAGACAGAAAGACCCAGAGGAGGAGGAGGTGGGGTGCAACCAGCCAGAGCAACAAAGATAGCCAGCTGCTAAAATGAAGCATAGAGCAGAGAGTGGAGACAACTGGAGTCAAATCAGGAGCAGAAGCGACTGCTCCTGAGCTGCGCTCAAAAAAACCAAACGAGAAAGAGGAGGAAAACAAGCCAAGATTTAAAGCCTGAAACTTAAACTGGGTTTAATTGCACCATGCTGGGTGTGGTTCTGGTTCTTTGTCCCCCTCAGATTATGGTGACCTTATCATGGCTGAATAAAAGCAAGAAGGCAGAAGCAGAGGGAACGTGGATTCAGGGTCGGCAAAGCCAACAGCCAGAAGATGTTTGTTTGTTTGTTTTACCTTCCATGAACCCACATGTGGATTCTTTCCTCTGCCGCCCGAGAGGAAATTCAGTTTCTTCTATATATATATATATATATATATATATATATATATATATATATATATGTATATATAGAATTCCTTTTCAACATCAATATTTGTACTAATATATAATATATATACTAATATATATATATATATATATATATATATAGTGTCTCCATAGTCTAAAATGGGTAGATTGGTCATTCGGATAAGAGTAAATTTCGCAGAAGTGGTTAAGTAAGAGCGGTTTCTGTAAAGGAGGCAGCTGTTAATTAATTAAATAAAACAAATAATTAAAAAAATTATTAAATAATAAAAATAATTCTGAAACTTGGTGGTAATTGGTGCCATTTTTTTAAATTAAATTTTCTTAAAAAGTTGTATAAAATGTAATCTTTTTGGTTGGAGAAACGGACTGTGATGGAATATTTTCCACAGACAGAGTATTTCAGTGGGTAATAATTGATCCTTAATTGGTTATTTTGGGGTATTTGAGCCACTTTCACAGATTGATTGATGATTTAGACGTAATAGTTGGAACTCGCTCCACCAAGGCATGTCTTTAATTAGAGGCGTATCATTTTATTCCTCCGTCCCCTGAGACATGAGGTCACATAATGTCGAGATGGATGATGCTCAGAATGCTAATAAATGCTTCAGAATCCACAGTGATTGGAAAACCTTTTGAAATATTGATACTGACCATGATTAATATTTCACCAGAGTCGCTCCTAAACACACACTGCTGAAGGTCTGACTGTCGACTTCACATTATTTATTAATCATTTCTGACTGAATGCATTAAAACTCAGCCGGCAGTGATTACAGACAGGCTGCTGCCATCTTAAATAAACTCAGTGGTTAAACATGAAGCTCGTTTCCAGCATATTAGAGGTAAACATCCCTGAATTAGCAGGTATTATTATTATTTATGATATGATAAATGGATCCATTCATCCATCCATCCACCCATCCATCCATCATCCTTCACCCATTCATCCATCCATCCA